GCTCCAGCTCTGTAGACTGCATACCATAGTAGCTCCAGCCTCTGTAGACTGCATACTATAGTAGCTCCAGCTCTGCAGACCACATACTCATTGTAGCTCCAAAGCTCTGTAGACCACATACCATAGTAGCCCAGCCTGTAGGCTGCACATACTATAGTAGCTCCAGCCTGCAGACTGCATTACCAGCAGCTCCAGCCTCCAGACTGCATACCATAGTAGCTCCAGCCTTGCAGACCACACATACTATAGTAGCTCCAGCTCTGCAGACCACATACCATAGTAGCTCCAGCTCTGTAGGCTGCATACCATAGTAGCTCCAGCCTGTAGACTGCATACTATAGTAGCTCCAGCCTGTAGACTGCATACTATAGTAGCTCCAGCTCTGCAGACCACATACCAGCAGTAGCTCCAGCCTGTAGACTGCATACTATAGTAGCCCAGCCTCTGCAGGCTGCATACCATAGTAGCTCCAGCCTGTAGACTGCATACTATAGTGGCTCCAGCCTGTAGGCTGCATACCATAGTAGCTCCAGCCTGTAGACCACATACCATAGTGCAGCTCCAGCTCTGTAGACTGCATACTATAGTAGTTCTGGTAGGCTGCATACTATAGTAGTCTAGCTCTGTAGACTGCATACTATAGTAGCTCCCAGCCTGTAGACTGCATACTGTAGTAGCTCCAGCTCTGCAGACTGCATACTATAGTAGCCCAGCCTGTAGACTGCATACCATAGTAGCTCCAGCTCTGTAGACCCATACCATAGTAGCTCCAGCTCTGTAGATTCCATACCATAGTAGCTCCAGCTCTCTAGACTGCATACTACAGGCAGCTCCAGCTCTGTAGACCACATACTATAGTAGCTCCAGCCTTGTAGACCACATACTATAGTAGCTCCAGCCTGTAGGCTTGGCTACTCATAGTAGCTCCAGCCTGTAGACTGCATACCATAGTTCAGCCTGCAGACCACATACTATGCAGCTCCAGCCTGCAGACTCCATACTATAGTAGCTCCAGCTCTGTAGGCCGTGCACACTATAGCAGCTCCAGCTCTGTAGAGGCTGCATACTATAGTAGCTCCAGCCTGTAGGCCGCTGCATACTATAGTAGCTCCAGCTCAGACTGCATACTATAGTAGCTCCAGCTCTGTAGGCCGCATACCATAGTAGCTCCAGCTCTGCAGACTGCACACCATAGCAGCTCCAGCTCTGTAGGCTGCATACTAAGGCAGCTCCAGCCTCTGCAGGCCGCAGCATACTGAGTAGCTCCAGCCCAGACTCCATACCATAGCAGCTCCAGCCTGCAGGCTGCATTACCATAGTAGCCCAGCTCTGTAGAGACTGCATACTATAGTAGCCCAGCCTTGCAGGCTGCATACTATAGTAGCTCCAGCCTCTGTAGACTGCATACCATAGCTCCAGCCTGCAGACCCATACCATAGCAGCTCCAGGCCTGCAGGTGGCTGCATACCATAGCAGCTCCAGCTCTGTAGAGACTGCATACTGGCAGCTCCAGCCTCTGCAGACTCCATACTATAGCAGCTCCAGCTCTGTAGGCTGCATACCAGTAGCTCCAGCTCTGTAGGCTGCATACTATAGTAGCTCCAGGCTCTGTAGACCACATACTATAGTGGGCCCAGCCTGTAGACCACATACCACAGTAGCTCCAGCCTTGCAGAGACTGCATACCATAGTAGCTCCAGCTCTGCAGACCACATACTATAGTAGCTCCAGCCTGTAGACCACATACTATAGTAGCTCCAGCCTGTAGACCCATACTATAGTAGCTCCAGCTCTGTAGACTGCATACTCATAGTAGCCCAGCTCTGTGGTGACCCATACCATAGTAGCTCCAGCCTGTAGACTGCATAACACAGGCAGCTCCAGCCTGCAGGACTCCATAATTACAGTAGCTCCAGCTCTGTAGACTCCATACCATAAGTAGCTCCAGCTCTGTAGACCACATACTATAGTAGCTCCAGCTCTGTGGTGCATACTGAGTAGTAGCTCCAGCTCTGTAGACTGCATACTATAGTAGCTCCAGGTCTGTAAACTGCATATTATAGAAGCTCCCAAACAACATTATCAGCATCTACTGCATTTGGAATTTTCTCAGTCATCTTTTGGGTTCTGGTGGTGGTGGTGATGATGTAGGCTCTGTCATCTGGTGGTGGTGATGTTGCCTCAGTCATCTGGTGGTAAAGTAGCCTCAGTCACCAGGTGTTGGTGGTGGTAATGTAGCCTCAGTCACCAGGTGTTGGTGGTGGTAATGTAGCCTCAGTCATCTGGTGTTGGTGGTGGTAATGTAGCCTCCTGCCTTCTGGTGGTGGTGATGCCTCAGTTATCTGGTGGTGGTGGTGCTTCAGTCATCTGGTGGTGGTGGTGCCTCAGTCATCTGGTGGTGGTAGTGATGTAGCCTCCTGTCATCTGGTGGTGGTGGTGCTTCAGTCATCTGGTGGTGGTGGTGCCTTAGCCATCTGGAGGTGGTGGTGGTGCCTCAGTCATCTGGTGGTGGTAGTGATGTAGCCTCCTGTCATCTGGTGGTGGTGGTGCCTCAGTCATCTGGTGTTGGTGGTGCCTCAGTCATCTGGTGTTGGTGGTGGTGGTGGTGGTGCCTCAGTCATCTGGTGGTGGTAGTGGTGCCTCAGTCATCTGGTGTTGGTGGTGCCTCAGTCATCTGGTAGTGGTAGTGATGTAGCCTCCTGTCATCTGGTGGTGGTGGTACTTCAGTCATCTGGTGGTGGTGGTGCCTCAGTCATCTGGTGTTGGTGGTGGTGGTGCTTCAGTCATCAGGTGGTGGTGGTGGTGCCTTAGTCATCTAGGCGTGGTGGTGGTGCCTCAGTCTATCTGGTGGTGGTGGTGCTTCAGTCATCTGGTGGAGGTGGTGGCTTCAGTCATCTGGTGGTGGTGGTGGTGGTGCCTCAGTCCTCTGGTGGTGGTGATGTAGCCTCCTGTCATCTGGTGGTGGTGGTGCTTCAGTCATCTGGTGTTGGTGGAGGTGGTGGTGGTGCCTTAGTCATCTGGTGTTGGTGGTGCCTCAGTCATCTGGTGTTGGTGCCTCAGTCATCTGGTGTTGGTGGTGGTGGTGCTTCAGTCTGGTGGTGGTAGGTGGTGCCTTAGTCATCTAGAGGTGATGGTGGTGCCTCTGTCTCTGGTGGTGGTGGTGGTGCCTCAGTCATCTGGTGTTGATGGTGATGGTGCCTCTGTCATCTGATGGTGGTGGTGCTTCAGTAATCTGGTGGTGGTGGTGGTGCTTCAGTCATCTGGTGGTTGCCTTAGTCATCTAGACGTGGTGGTGGTGCCTCAGTCATCTGGTGGCGGTGGTGGTGCCTTAGTCATCTAGACGTGGTGGTGGTGCCTCAGTCATCTGGTGGTGGTGGTGCTTCAGTCATCTGGTGGTGGTGCCTTAGTCATCTAGGCGTGGTGGTGGTGCCTCAGTCATCTGGTGGCGGTGGTGGTGCCTCAGTCATCTGGTGTTGGTGGTGCTTCAGTCATCTGGTGGTGGTGGTGGTGCCTTAGTCATCTAGGCGTGGTGGTGGTGCCTCAGTCATCTGGTGGTGGTGGTGGTGCTTCAGTCATCTGGTGGTGGTGCTTAGTCATCCTAGGCGTGGTGGTGGTGCCTCAGTCGTCTGGTGGTGGTGGTGGTGCCTCAGTGATCTGGTGGTGGTGGTGGTGCCTCAGTGATCTGGTGGTGGTGGTGCCTCAGTCATCTGGTGGAGAAGGGTACGGGATTCAGGGAAGTGCCCTAGCATGGATCGGAGACTTTCTTCATGGTGCAAGCAGTGTGTGGTGATTAATGGCATGAAATCATGTTTACCTGTGACAAATGGGGTACCACAGGACAGTGAGCTGGGCCCATTGTTGTTAATTTGTTTCATAAATAAGGCTAATGACATGCCAGAAACTATATATTCTTCCATACATATGTTTGCTTAATGATGGCTGTTAAGATTCAATGTCATGATGTGTAAGAGGATGCATCTAGGTCATACCAACAGTAAGGAGGCGTATCATATGTCCCAACGGGGTGAAGAAACTGCATTAATAGAGGCTGAATGTGAAAAGGACCTGGGTGTGTATGTTGAAAATGAACTGAAGTTTTCAGGCATGTGTGAAGAAGGTGAATCAAGCAATGAAGCTTATAGGTCTTATAAGAAGGTCATTCAGATATCTAGATGGTCTGTCCCTAATAATGCTCTTCAAGAGTGAGGTGCTTCCCTGTTTGGAGTACCCTGTCTGGTCCCCAAGATATGCTAGAAACTGTCAGTTGATTGAAAATGTCAAGGAGGCACCAGACTGGTGCCCGCACTATGGCAACTCAGTTACCCAGAGAGATTAAAACCCCTGCAACTGCCTAATTTATACTATAGACGGGCAAGGGGTGACTTAATTGGAGTTTACAAGCATCTTAGAGCAGTGGTTCTCAAACATTTTTCAACCAAGGACCCCTTATATACCATGACGCATAAAATATTGTCAATAATCAAAGAATAAATCATAGTCCAAAGCATTTGTTCATTTCAACCCAAATCCAAAATATCCATGAATTGGAATCGTCAATTCTCTCACAAACGTTAAACGCACTATTTCTCAAAAACTTTTCGCGGACCCCAGTTTGAGAATCACTGTCTTAGATGACACTACTCAGTGGTGTCCATAACTGGAGCTGGCGGAGCCTCGCCCCACTACAGGTTCACAGCTCGAGGTTGAAGAAGCCAAGAGTCCAGAAAATTGTGAGGGAAAAACTTTTTGAGTAAGAATTGTAAACTCTTGGAATAATCTGTCAGTGTTGTGACAGCACTGATATGAGCTCTTTCAAAACCAGACTTGACCAACACTGACGCAGGTATATTCTGGAGCCACATACCAACTATGCCTAAGAGAGATGTAACTGACCGCTCACACGGCTAACAAACTGATCAGTGACAAAGAGAATAAAGGTAAAAGTAACTGCATTATAATATCATAGACAGTAAAGCAAACTGGGTTTACAAAGACTGAAAAAAATAAAAAATCAATTTATTGATAAACTATCGCATGATCATACACATCTATGTAAATATCATGTACTGTATAAACTTAACAATGAACACATTTTCCTCAACTGAACTAAACTGTAATATTCATATTACAACAGCTTTGTACTTTCCATAATATGTGTACATAATGTATCTTATCATTTTTAAAGATTAATAACCTAAAAAATATAACAGATAAAACACACTATTTTATTTCTTGGCCAAGTAGACTTCCACACATACACCATGTTTTACCTATAACATTAGAGTTTGGAACCAGACCAGAGAGACTGCAAAAAACTATGCAGCATGGAGAACTGTGGAAAGTGGCCATAAAACAACGATGATGATGATGATGTATTATAGGATACACTACAAAAATCCTAATACTATGAAGATGTAGATCACAAAACAAGATCTTACCAGATCTGGAAAAAGTTCATCCTTCACAAAAGTTGCAACCTATATCAAAGATTTTTAAAGTTTATAAAACTTTGAGTATTCTTACCAAAGGTGGAGTTGAGGTTATGTTTTCACTGTTAATTTCATTGACTGTATGTACTGTACACTATTTATATTTCTCAGACACTACTTCGGTGCTCCTCAACAACCACCTCCACCACAGTGGCAGCCCCCACTTACACCAACTTTCCCCCATACTAACCATAATTTGGTTGTGGTTTTCCAGGTTGGGGACACTTGTGTCCAGTGCTGGACCCAACTCTGGTTTACAAGAGGATCCAGATTAAACATGTCTGGGTTAAAGGAAGTTTACTGTATTCAGGTCCCCCCCTCTATACTTACTTATAACCCAGGTGACTCAGAGACATGTGTATGCCGTGATATCACACAGGGAGAGGGAAGTGCGGCTGAGTGGCGAGCCAGCGACTGCGACACAGTTCTGGCTCACTGCCTCAATCCACATGAGACACAACCAATTTTAGCGTATTATTATAAACCTAAATTTTGGAAGAAAAATAGCATAAGGCAACACATCTATGAATGAGTGATGGTAAATGAGGGGAGAGTTTGTTGATTACAGCATCCAACAGTAAATTATTGCAGAAAAGGGCTTGAAAGAGTGAAACTATCATGTTTATGATAATGAGTGAGAAACATAAAGGCATAACATAAAATGAGCAAATATACATAACAGAAATCAAACTGGATGGGAAATTACGGTAACCGTTTTTATCCCATACAGCACTGAAAAATAATTTTATCAAGAATGGTGTTATGTATGGACCAGTGATGAAAGAAAATCCATAATGAGTCTTTTATCAAAATAAAGTAATTTTATTAACATACAGTAAAGGAATTCAGATAGTGCTTTGTTCCACAGTAAGGAGAGGAAGGAAAAATAAAAAGTTGTCTAGTTTTATGTTTTAAATCAACTTTGATCTTCACTTACTGTGGTGTTAGTGGCCACTTTACTCTTACAACTATGATTTCTTAATGATACTTTGAATTTGAATGAGTGTTTACACATACGGCATGAATACTTTGGAACTGTGCTATGCTTGTCTTCATGTTCTTTTAACTGACTTTTCTTAACAAATCGTTTTCCACAATGACAGATAAACAATCTCTTCTGGGCATGAATCTTTAAATGAGAGACTAAGGAATCCTTTCTCGTAAAATTTAAAGAACATTTGTCACACTTAAACTGATGTGTAGCTTCTTGATGTGATTTTGAGTGTCTCTGGAGGGCCCAAGAGGTGGTAAAAGTTTTTTCACAATGATCACACCTTAAGGTATCTATGTTGGTATGAATTTTTTTATGTTGAAGTAGATCCTCGTTGCATGAAAAAACTTTGGAGCATATCTCACAAGACAGTTGTTGCTTTACATGTTTCTGATGCATATAGCGTTTCAGTCCATATTGTTTGGTAAACTTTTCTCCTGAACTTTACAAGAATGCCATGAGCTTCTGTGTTTCAGAGTGGACTTCCAATATATGTGTCCTTAATCCTTTCATAGTGTGGCATGCATGCTTGCAGATAAGGCACTTATGAGTTTTTTCCCTTTGGTGGACTCCAATATGCTCTTTCAAGCGTCTTTCAGTACTAAAAGCTTTACTGCATTCTGCACAAATAAATGATTTTTTAACAGCATGAACCTCTCTTTGATGTCGGAGGTACCTGAACAATTTTGTAAACACCTTTCCACAATCACCAAACGGTGAATTTTTTTCCCTGTGTGTTTCCTCTCATGAAGATCCTTTGAAGATTTCTTGAAAAAATTTTGTCCTAAAACTGACATGTAAAGTTCTTTTGACCTTCTGCTTCATGTGTTTTATAATGAGATTTATAAGTTGATCGACTAGCACATTTTAAACTGCACACTTGGCACACATGTTCCTTTAACTGAAGCTGTTGTTGCACTTTTGAAGGTTGGCTAAATGATGCATCCTCTTGTTTCTTATTTGAACTCAGATCTGAACTAATTCCAGTGGATCCAAATGGGATATCTGCACTAAGAGTGCCATTCAATTTGTTCACCAAGAGAGACTGAAAGCTGTGAATGTATCGGTTTACATCTGCACTCTGACCAAGAACTTTTCTCTCCTGATCATGGTGGAATTTTTTATGAAAGTATGGCTTTGCATCAAGAGAATGAGCTGGTAAACTATCACTACCATGATTATCTTGCGAGTTGTTTACCTGATCTAAACAGTTTGTAGACACACTGCCTAGGTTGTTCAAACTGGTAGCAATTTCAATTGCTGTAATTTCTTGGGCATCGTGTTAGAGCACTGTTTATTTTCTGTTGCATAATTTCCTTCATGTTCTGTTGTTGTTTGATCAGACACTGCTGTTTCCTTTACTTTATCTGATGCTACAACAATAGCATCACTCTCTCTCAAACTGGTTGTAGGCATTTGGTTGTCATATGATATATAATTTGTTATTAGTTTTGTTGAATCTTCTAAATTATTCTTTAAAGAAACTGAATGACTTAATTTAGCTTCCATGTAATTACAAGATCCTTCTGACATGGTACTCTGACTAGGTGATCCTGAAGATTTATGATATGAAGAATGTTGAATATCTGTGGACTTTCCTGATCCTTTTCCTGAATATTCTGATGTGTCTTCATTTGAAACGGGGAAAGATGAACTAGGCTTTGAAAAAGGTTGAAGCTCCAGTTCTTGTACATATTGGTGTGGTGAAATCCACGAAGATGAAGCAAAACTGTTGAGTTTAAATTGTCAAGCTGAGGAGGACTATCACAGTTAGAGGCATCAACCAAACTATCTAGTGTACCTGGATGAATTGGGCTACTTTGTACTGCTTTGTGAACACTAGTTTTGTCTGAGGATATGTCAGTGTACTTGTAAAATGGTACCTCTCTCTCTATACTTGGTGATGGTCTACAATGTGACTGAGAGATGTTTTCCAACTTCTTCAGTATCTGACTTCATAATAGAGGATGGCCCAGTGACAAGATGACTTGATGATTTTGTTTCATCATTAATCACTGTGTTAGGCCCCAGCCAAGATAAGACCTGCCCACCATCATTGAAGGACCCATTGCCTGACTTCATCTGTGAACATAACAAATCAGGTTCTCCTTCTGTATATGAGTAAGTAGTAAGTAATCCTTTATCTGTAGATGTAAGAGTGTTACATGAGAGGGGCGTTTCCACAGAACATGGATACATGTTAATTGATCCATCATCTGTTACTATTGAAGGTACACTAGAATCAGGCCTTCCTACAGAGCAGGGGTCTGTAGTAAGTGATTCTCTATTTACCAGAGGGAAAGAGTTATATGTATCAGATCGTTCTGCAAGACCTTGATCTGCACAAACTGATGATGAAGGGGGACAAGAATCATGTCTTTCAACAGAATATAAATAAGTGTTATCTGATTGCATACTAGCATATGGAGAACAACTACTTTCACTTATTGGTGCTATTTCTACAGAACTAGGAGTTACTGGACTATAATCATTTCTTAATTTTCCACCCATTGGGCTCTGCTCTGATAGCCCTGTGGATCTACCAAAAAGAAATTTATGTCTCTTGATGTTTTTTCCCAGTTTCTCCAGTTGCCATTCACGTATCTTTAGCTGATTAGCCATATCATTTTCCTCAATAAAGTCTGACAGACACTCTGAGGGTTCTTCAGACTCGTTGACAGGAAGAGTCTCTGTGTCAGTCATAAAGTTGCCTGGAGTGGAAGCATCACTAGCCAAGTGGGAGCTAAGTGCTGGTGATGAAACTTCTGGACAAGATCCAACAGTGGCCGACAAAGTGAGAGAGTTGTTATTGCTTGGCACAATACTATGCTCTCTGATATGAAGAAAATAAGCATCTTTACCTACAACTTTTGCCCCACAAGTCTGGCAAAAGTAAGCACGTAATATAAGTTCAATTGATTCTTCATTGGTGGGATAGCTTCTTGTTATATTTGTCTGGTCATTGTTGATAAGTTGACTGCATAGGTAGGAACTGGAACCATCTCTGCTTCCTACTCTACCTGTAAACAATATTTTTTAAGAATATATATATATATATATATATATATATATATATATATATATATATATATATATATATATATATATATATATATATATATATATATATATATATATATATATATATATATATATATATATATATATATATATATATATATATATATATATATATATATATATATATATAAGCGGTCAATTGAACCCAGAGGGTCGCGTTAAGTGAAATCAGCGTTAAGTGAACAACAGAACATATGGGATTAATTCCAATGAAACAGCCCGACCCCCAAACTCCACTTTTGAAGACACATACCTATGTTGTAGTAAAATAACATCTTAATTTTATGATGGTACATGCACACAATTAATACTTAAGAAATAGAAAATACAGTAAGCCAAGTTAATGTCCATTCAAATAATGGACTCAACTCCCTCCCCTCTTCTCAAACTACCACTGCTGGCTCTTCCTCTGAAATTTTTGGGGAAAACCACTAAATTTTAATAAATAATACCTCAAACTAAAGTTAGGATAATACAATTGACATTGCTGGATTCCTTGTAAGACCAGGAATATTTTGAATATAAATGTCATATATTTTGCAAAAAGATAACATATTTACTAGAGAAAACATTTCATCTAAATTTGTATGTCTAATGCAAAATATATGATGTTTATATTCAAAATGATCACCAAATTATAAAATTCAGCAATGTAAATTATATTCTGTGGTAATTTGTATGAATTTTATGAGCTAAAACAGGCAGTCAGGCAGGGTTGGATGGTTGGGGCAAATCTAAAATGAGAGGACACTCACGGTTATATGTGGAAAAAATCTGTGTTAAGTGAAAGTTCAGCTCTGGCGAGAGCACAGCTTATATGAAAAAGCAGCGTTAAGTGAAACCCGCGTTAAGTGGAGAGAGAGAGAGAGAGAGAGAGAGAGAGAGAAGAGGTGGTGGGTGGAGGTGGTGGTGGTGAGTGAGTGAGTGAGTGGTGAGTGGTGGTGGTGGTGGTGGTGGTGAGTGAGTGAGTGAGTGTGAGTGAGTGTCTATATATATATATATATATATATATATATATATATATATATATATATATATATATATATATATATATATATATATATATATATATATATATATATATATATATATATATATATATATATATATATATATATAAATACTGTAAGTCAACCCTCACTACAGGTCCCACATTCCACGTTTCCCACGTTTGCGCGGTGCCTGCGGAACCCAGGATGCTCACATTCTGATGCGTGTACCCCTTCTTGAGTGTCCGGCTCGACGCCGCTATTTTAGATTCATCTCCTACCCGCTTGCTCCCGCCTCCCGCCTGGGCAAGCCGCTACGTGTTGGGTTGCGCAGTGCATGAAGTTCTGGTTAGTGCTATCAGTGACGGGCCATAAGGACATATCGGACTCGTGGATTGGCCATGCATCCCTAATACCTCCGCTGGGTTAGCTGTAATTGGTTTAAGTAATATGACGTGGTCCAATTCGGGAGGGAGGAGGGAGAAAGACGACGCTGACCTAGCCGCTGCAGTTTCATCCCTCCAGGCCACAACTGTAATCGCGGCATCCATTGTTCTGTAAAATGGCTCACGACCCTTCAGAGAGAAACCTTCTTGCCTGGACCCACGCCTCTAAGCCCAAGAAGACACGACGCCCTGTTACGAGGTGAAGTACAAGATCAACCAAGAGTTAGGAGAAAGGAACAAGACCGTTGATTTGGCGCCGCCAGCATGGTGTGAACGAATCTACGATCCGACGAGCAAGGATGTACAAGATAAAGGAGCACATGAACATCACAAAGTCTACAGGTGCTTCTATATCGCTATTTCCACAACCAGGTGCTTCTCAAGACTTTAAAAATTACTTGTGAGCTACTTGCGCGCTGAAGTATTCGAAATTATGGCGGTCGACACGCCGCTTCTGTTAAGGAGCACGCGACGCGGAACTGTATGCTGCAGTGTCACGAAAGATGGGAATTACAGAGCCCAAACCCTTTAATAAGCCTCTGGGTGGTTACAGAGGTTTAAGATGCGAACAAGATCACCAATATAAACATTGGTGGTGGCAGCTAGTGCTGACCGTAAGCGCGCTAAAGAATTTCCTCCGCTTTTACGCGGAGATTATATAGAGGAAGGACAGGCACACCAAATCTAATCAATTGGTGGTGTTTAGCATGGACGAATCTGGTCTTTTTGGAAAAAGCCACCTTCCAAGACCTTCGCTAGAAGAATGCCGGAAGATGCAGTGAAGGAGCGCGATCACCGCCCTGTTTACTCACCTCAATGCCTCCTCGGGTACCTGGTGGGGCCTGGGTTATCGGGTGATCCACACAGCCCGCAATGCGACGTACGCTCTTACAAGAGCATGGACATGACTAAGCTAAATGTCCACTGGCTGACCGCACGTATATGGATGTTCTACACTGTCCCTCCTGGTTTGATGACTGTTTCTGTTCCATGTAATGAAATTCTGTGAGCAACAGAATGTGCCATATTCAAGATTTTGTTGCTGCTGGACAAAGCACCAGGACACTCTCGCCTCTACTGTTAGATCGTCACCCCAACGTAAAAGTGGTCTTCCTTTCCTCCCAACACTACGTCTATATTACGTTCATGGACCAAGAGTTAATCTGTAATGTAAAAGCTGCATTCTCAACAAAAATTCCAGCTCCTGAACGACTACACCAACACCAGGGAAGAGTTGGTGTAACCTGAGTGGACACCACCACCGAGCAGCAAGAGCCGGCGACCTAATTTAGGATCAACAGTTGGCAGAGCAAAAATACTTTTCAAAACAATTTGAGAATATTCAACACATCAAGAAAGCGTGTAATTTCGGTGGAGGCATGGGACCGCTGTCTGTAGCGCAACTGTTCACACGCATGGAGACATGTGTTGCAAGGCATTCCCGCGTAAGGCAGAGTCAATTCAGCATCAGAGGTTCTGAACGTTGTGTGCAGCAAGGACCCCTTGCCAGAGAAGCTGCGAGAGTGTTACAGCTGCAGTCTTCTCCGAGACCACCAACCATCTACATCCTGGAGGTGATAAGGGATCCTCAAGTGTGACCTGACGAAACAGGTATGTACCTTCACTACCCAGCTGTTGCAGACTATGGAGCCCTACTTCAAGGTTTATCACTCTACAACATAAAACACCAGCCGCCAACAAAGCATACAACAGAGTTCTTTCACCAAGTGAACCCACCACAGCCAGCCCAAGCCAGTGATAGTGACAGAGGTGTAGAGACACAGGAAGATGACTTTGAGGGATTTGTCAGGAGGCCATGACAAGTGTGGATGACAGTGATGGTGACTCACCTGAGGCCAGTAGCCTGCCCTCTGCCTCGAACCAGCCTCCATCCCCCAGAGTGCCGCACCCATCTCTTTCTACTAACGTAGTGTTCAACCTAACTTTTAGTTTCTCCTAACCTAACCTTTATTTTCCCAATCCTTAACCTTTATTTTCCTAACCTAACCTCTTCTATATATTAATTGTTTGTGCATACCATCATAAATGTGCATACCATCATAAAGTTAAGATAAAATTTTTTACTACAACATAGTTGTGTGTCGTCAAAAGGGGAGTTTGGGGGCCCACGTTCTATTTCAATTAATCCCATATGTTTATGTTGTTCACTATACGAGTTGTCACTTTCCCATGTACCCCGTGGGTTATATATATATATATATATATATATATATATATAGTATATATATATATATATATATATATATATATATATATATATATATATATATATATATATATATATATATATATATATATATATATATATATATATATATATATATATATATATATATATATATATATATATATATATATATATATATATATATATATATATATATATATATATATATATATATATATATATATATATATATATATATATATATATATATATATATGTAGTAACCCTGAAATCATGAAAGTGAGAAAGCGGTAAAGTAACAATATAATATATATATATATATATATATATATATATATATATATATATATATATATATATATATATATATATATATATATATATATATATATATATATATATATATATATATATATATATATATATATATATATATATATATATATATTTTTTTTTTTTTTTTTTTTTATATATATATATATATTATATATATATATATATATATATATATATATATAATATATATATATATATATATATATATATATATATATATATATATATATATATATATATATATATATATATATATATATATATATATATATATATATATATATATATATATATATATATATATATATATATATATATATATATATATATATATATATATATATATATATATATATATATATATATATATATATATATATATATATATATATATATATATATATATATATATATATATATATATATATATATATATATATAGCTCCTCCCCGACTTAAGACAGAGTTAGGGACCCAAATCCAGGTGTAAGTCTAAATGGTCGTAAGTCAGAAATGCTTAAATAATACATAGAAAATCTAAAATGGGTGTCTCTTTTTCTTCTCAGTACCACAAAACTCTCACTTTTAAGCTTGCCAGCCATTTTAAAGTGAATTACAAACGAAAATTTTGTCAGTACACAACGCAATCACCGACACTGGGACTCAAAAATACGTAATTTGACAAATTTTTGGTACAACTGAGGCAGTCGTACGTCCGGGTAGTCGTAAGTCGGGAGGAGCTGTACATAAAACGCCTTTTATCTGGAAACTGAAAACTAATGTGTTTAAACCTTAAAAACAGTCTATATTACTGAGAAAATGTATATAAGGGTGATTTAAAACTTATGGGCATAACATATATGAGGTTTTAAATATTCTGTATGAATTAGATTATTTCAAAGATTGTTAAATAACACTAATTACCTGTACACTGTAATCAATGTTTATGTCTTTACACTGCTTTAACACTATATGCTAGGCTGATTGTGTCTTGGTACAGTAATGTACAGTACTGCATAATGCAAATTTACACAAAAACAGCAGTGAGCGAGGGAACGACCTTGTACAATGGCAGTGGACTATGAACTAAGCACATCATGATGCCAAAGTTTGAGGGGATAAGCTAGGAGATGCTTCAGTCAATCACAGGCATCCCATGCAGTCACATGACAGTATTAGCCAATAGCAACGAGCGAGCCTGTACCAAGACATAAAATCATAGTTAAACAGAACACTGGACAGAACATTACATGGTAGAAATTCAGTAAGCAGTCATCCTAACCTTGTGTCCTGCCTTGAACCTCAATCTGGACTTCTGACCGGGAATCTTCTAAAACTGGTACACTGGGCTTGACTGCATGAGCATGTAGTGAGGTGGGCATTCCATCCCCCATGTGCATCTCAAGATGACGGGTGAAGTCCTGGATCCCTCCAACATGAGCACTACAGACCGCACATTGGAGAGGCCGGTACGTGTAATACAGGAGGTGGTCGTGTAGTGCCCCAACAGACACAAAGTCTTGCCTGCAGCACAGTGGACAGCCAAGAGGAACCATCTTCACTGTTTACCTGTTGAGTACAACAAAAAAAACATACTGTGGTCACTTAGATCCTCCATATCCCCGTTACCGAAATATTTGAAAGTGTTTCTTTACGTTATTCTCTGGAACAAATTTTAGATATTTATATTTACTGACACTGATAGAATTTATATTTATATTCCTATAATTTAATTTAACCTGGGCTAAAAATTTAACTGTAAGAAAAATACTCATATGGTCTGAAATTATACACCTCAGTTATTACATATAAGATTGAATAAGTAAATGGTATGTGAGGGTGTGCATGTAAATTCTGGGATATATTTGTACTGTAGTAATAGACTCCTCTTTGGGCCCCCGTCTCCATAGTCCTAACCTAACCATGAGGACCTGGCCCTAATTCTAAATATTAAGTTACATTGAGGTCCAATAAGGTAAGGGTTTATTTGACTGGAACGCCTATCACCATTCACCTTATAACTTTTTCCTGAAATACTTAAGCATTAGTTTCTTTTCTTGTAACTTCTTTCATATAACCTTCCCAACGTCATCATTCCTGTAAACTTTTCTTTTCTCTTTATATGCACCTTCCATGCACATACAAAATAATCAGGTCACTCTGACTACATTTCCATAAATGCTGGAGTACCCTGAGGCTCTAGCTTTGTACCTGCGTTCTCTCTAATACAACTCAATGATTTGTCAATATTTGGAAACAGCTGTCTCCTAATGGTCAACTCATCAGTGTTGGGTCAAAGGAACCCGTCATACTGGATCCTACTCTAAGTATTAGGAACATGTTCTAATGGTTAGCTCAGGTTGATGCCACCTGGTCAACATCGTCCCAGTCATCTCCTTCACTCTACCAATACCCCAGATAGTGCAGGGTGGCCACGATCAAAGACAACTTACAGTCTCCCACAATCACTTTCACATGTTCTTTATAGCTGCCTTGTATTGTGTTCTACTGTAGTGTTATTCTTCCACAAAAAGATTTCAAGATATAAATCTGATTTACTTATGTCAATTCATACATCACTCATCACCCCCTTCCCTTGTATCAACATAACCATTCTCCTCCTCCAGTTCAATGAAAATCCCTACTTGTGCCTACTACTGTACACTGCTATAGTCAAGGCCAAGACCTGATCTTTGGTGTCTAAGGCGAGTGGTACATAAGTTGGCTTTGTACCAATAATATCCCAACTTAAAATGATTTAAAAATAAATCACATCATTTGAGCCAATATGAAAATTTCCATTTCAGCTGGTTTACAGTACAGTACAGTACAGTTCAGTACAGTACAGTACAGTACAGTACAGTACAGTACAGTACAGGAGAATGGGTTCTGGCAAGTGGGATTTAAGGACTCAGATATGGCTTCCATAACCAATCTATGTTTACCTTGAGAAATATGAGATTTTCATGTGGCTTAATAATAATTAGTTACATTTTTCTGATAATAATGTTACTTAGTCCACTTTGTATTTTGGATACCAATACCAATTGTAGTTCATGATATTTATTAATAATTTCATCAATTGTATAAAATACTGTTCCAAGTCACAACCTCTTTACTATGGGGATGCCACTGTTATATTTTATTTGGCTAATGCCAGATGATTTTATTCAGCTCAGGGGCAACCCCATACACAAGGAGTTAAAACAAATATATGTACACACCTTCCTCTATGATGTAGAGGCTACATGCTTAAGAGGAGAAAATATTTGACTTACACAACTGATTCAGACTAAAGCTTCATTTACATCCACAAACAATTAACTACAGTAATACCCCGCTTTACGCGGTTTCACTTTCCGCGATTTCGCATTTACGCGGTACCTCGCCAGAACCGGACTTTCACTTTAGGCGGTGCATCTACTCATATACGCGGGAAGCGGAGCGGGCAGGATGCGCACAAGGTCGCCCAGTCATCAAAACATTACCGAGTTCTTCACCCGCCACCCACCACAGCCGGCCCAAGTCAGTGATAGTGATAGTGAGGATATGGACTTATATGGACTTTGATGGGTTTGACAAAGAGGCCCTGCAAGCTTATGTGGTGGATAGTGATACAATTGATACAAGTGATACAGGTGAGGGCCAATAATCTGCCCTCTGCCTCGGAACCAACCCCCCCATCCCTGTGTGCCCAGCCATCTTTTCTACTAATGTAAGTGTTAAAAAAACTAATATTATTGACATTTCTCTTAATTATTAATTATGTGTGCATACCATCATAAAATTAAGATGTAATTTTTACTACAACATGGTATTGTGTCTGAAAAAGTGGAGTTTGGGGGTCGGGCCAGTCTCTATTGGAATTAATCCCATATGTTCTGTTGTTCACTTTACGTGGTTTTCACTTTCCGCGGTACCCCATGGGTTCAATTGACCGAGTAAATCGGGGTACTACTGTATTCTGTTTAGTATTTTAATTCCTTTCCCACTTTCTCGAAGGGTCAGTCATGGGTAGTGTACACAAACCTTAAAAAAAAGGAGGAAATAGTACTGAAAAATGGTGGAAAAGAGTTCTATCTGGTCGCTGATGGACTATTGTACTGTAATTGCCTACTAACAATGTTACATCTCATAAGGTAAATATATACAGGCCTTAGTTTACAATTTTTGTATTTATTATTGGTAATTTTGAGGTTTCATATAAACATAGATCTACTTATTTTGTATCATATAACTAGGTTTATTAGCCCTTTCTTTACTGTACCTCTTTACTGTACACACATCAATTATTGTTTGTCGGCCGGTTCCTCATTAGTCCAGATTAGCGAGGGTTTACTATATTCAGAGTTAATTCTTAATTTTTATATTGGTTTAAAATATTTTATTTTAATTCATTGTGTAAAGATGAAGTTGCCGTCAAGTTCGACAAAACTCGGCAAGAAAACTTTAATCATGAACTATGGACTGTACTGTACACTTGGCCTTCACTTGAACATGAGTATCTCTACAGTCCAAATCTGGTAAAGACATTATAACACAGTGAGAGTTCTGCACAGTATACAGTGTACATAAAATCATTAGCAAGTAAATTACAACACTGTACAGTACAGTACTGTATTGTAAAGCAGATCAATACTGTACAGTACAGTACTGTATTGTGAAACAGATCAATACTGTACAGAGAACCTATCATTTGCATCTGGAACAAATTTACCTCTAAATTCCAACAAGTCATTACAAACACAGTTCTATTTACTATCTTGACACCTCTCCCACTTTATGTATGTGGCAGATCAAGGGAACAGAAACCCCAACAATGGGAGGAACTAGAATGATACCAGAGGCAGTAAGACAAGTGTACAGTGAGAGAAAAGAGGTGATGCTAGTAAAAAACAGCACAGCACAGTACTATCTCATGTCCTGTATTGTGTTCAGTGTGTAACTTTAACCTCAACATTGACCATAGTTCATGTACAGTACATGTCCTGGGCAAGTGCATGAAACAAGAACGAACAATCGTGTGTTAGATATTGTAATATGAAATTTAATATATATTACATGGCAACAAAAACAGTAAACTGCCACCAAAGATTCACTTTAGATCCACTACATGCAAGCTGAGGATAAGAGCAAGTATATGTGGATATTTCCATTTAATTTTGCAGCCCAACTTAACACAAAAGTGGGAGAGAGGTAAAAATGATAACCTATTCTTAATTACATTGGAGTACCGTACTGTGATGGTCAAGCTTAGAACACTAGGTTGTCTCCCTGATACATGACTGGGATTCTGGTCATTAGGTCATCTTCTTGAGACACGATCAGGGTCTTGGACATCATGTCATCATCATCCATATAATACCAGGTCACCCTCTTCTTGAACTTGGAGATTAGGTTATGATGGACAACACCAAATCCTCTTCTTCTTGATACATGAGCAGGATCTTGGATGTAAGGTTCCACACAGCTTGGGTTGTACAATCTGGTTGGAGAACAGTGAACCAGGAGCGGTCACTGAGCTCGTCATCTCCCGGCACCACTATCCCATACACTTGAATGACTATGTTGAGAACGGTTACTGCTAACAACTGAGGGGAATGCTTCAGAACTATTGGAGAATGATATATATCTTGGGTTATAGTCCAAGCCATGTGCACTATTGGGATATTCTTGAAAGTTTCCTCTCCTAACCATTCTTTTAAAGAGAGTAAGTAGTGAAGTATGAACTTGTGTGGCAGCTCCACTCTCATTTTAAACCCTAAAACACGCATCAGAAGTAACTCTGCCTGGATGAGTGAGTCTCGCAAGGAGAAATATGGGTCCAATGAGAGCGGGGCATCTCCTCGACGAACATTGCTTATGCCAACATTGATTATGTCTCTTATCTTGATATCATCATCCTCCACCTTCGACGCTAAGTAGATACATGTGGAACCAATAAGATATGGATCGTATTCCTCCAAAGTTGCAACTGTGAAGAATTTGTGGTAATAGGTTGCTGCTGTAGCTGTGGTCAACACACTCGCTTTCAGCTTGATACCACATTCAATTATAAATCGTGCCCCAGAGAAGTGATTGTAATTCTTGGTGTAGTCTACAGGGGGATTTTGAAACTCTTTTGGCATAAGATTTATCTGTAATAATGATGCTCTTTTGTCTTTGCCATCTTCATGGCTTTTGGCTGATGAGTTCATAGTTTCTATTACTTAAATTTCTTATAATATATGATCCTATGCCTGTAATTTCTATGCGATATTTTCTTCCTCTAACCTGCAACAAGAAGAAAAATCCTTTGTTACACCACAGCACATAAACTTCATACAAGATATGGTTTTCTTGATTCATTTACTGTACTAGTAATAAACCTTTTCATTTAGTTTTAAAATGGGCTAAAAAAAATATTGGATATCTATGGAGCATGGGGTTCCTTCCTCAACACAGCTGCAAGGAAAACAAATGTAATGATTAAAATTGTCTTAGACCAGGAAAATGCCATGCTCTTAATAAATGAAAGTTATGCGTTTTTCTTTAACAGACCAATGCACTGTAAGCCTAACCCTTATAAT